TTGCTTTAATCATTCTTAATTCTTTCTGTTTACCTCTATATTGCAATTTCTTTAAAATTTATAGATTTGTGGGATGCCTGGGTGGCTCAGTCATTAAGCGTCTGCCTTCGGCTCAGGTCATGATCCCAGAGTCCTGGGATCGAGCCCCGCGTTGGGCTCCCTGCTACACGGGAAGCCTGTTTTCCCTCTCCCACTCCCCCTGCTTCTGTTCCCTCTCTTGCTAGGTGTCTGTCAAAAAAATAAAATAAAATCTTTAAAAAAATAAAATTTACAGATTTGAATACCTATTTGTGATTTGTCTTTTTAGACAATGTATATTGGTATTTAAAATTAGTTTATTCTGAGCAGAGATTCAGTACCATCTTACAAATTATCGTATAATTTTTTATTATTTGGTCCTGCTAAATTACTTTGAATTCACTCTTTCATCAAATTATTTTAAAAGAGATATTTAAAGGAAGCTTCACATGGTGGTGGCTAATTTTCTTGTATTGACATTGGAGAATATTGCCTGACTACTAACTTCTCATGTAATTGACAGTTCCTTTTTTTTTTTTTTTTTAAGTGTTCTTTATTTGCAGTCCACATTTACTGGCTACTCTGTATTTGATCTGGTACTCAAACTAAGAGCACTAGCAGCTTGTGTCCAGTGCCCCAACCATGCACTGGCCAGGGTTATGACTTGGAAACCAGGATGGTTTCTTTGTGAGGTTGGAATTTTTCCCCTTGGTCTTACCCCTGGCAGTAGAATTAAATGATGGCGTTCAGCCAGCCCTGTCTTGTGTCAGAAATCCCTGAGCAACTCCACAGCTCATCAGTTGGCAGACCCTGAGCCTGACCTCCCCCCCTTCACCGCTCAGGTTTCATTATGATCTGATAGTTTGTTAGTGTCCATACAACACTGGAAAATTTGATATACTATATATTTTTGTGGCAAAAATCCTGACATGCATTAATTTACTTTTTTGCTCTAGTGCTGGGTTATTTTCCAAGACTCTCTTTACCCATCCCCACCCCAACTCCAACTTACACTGAGGCTGAGGTTCAGCATCTACTTTGAAAACAAAAAACAGTCCCCCAAGATGTTTACAAAAGTGCAAAATAAAAAATGCATATGGGTGCCAACTATGGACTGGAATTTTTTTCCTTTAAGTTCTTGAAATGCAGTAAATGGATTTAATGGCATGTGAGACAAAGTGATTTCCATGTGTTAGAGGGGAAGGAATATTAGATAAAATGTTAGCATATTTCTAAGTCTGTACATCCACCAAATTTAGTCATGTGAAGCATAAGCAAATCAGACTTGTTTCACGCAGGCTTGTGTGTGTGTGTGTGTGTGTGTGTGGTTAAAATGATATCTTCTGTACAGACTCCTGGGCTGAGTCCATGAATCCTCGTGGGGAGGGGCCGGCACACACTGTGAATCACTCACAAAGAAAACTTTTGTGTGGCAAGGGCTCCTTTGTTTCTGACTGCGACAGGAGTGGCCCAGCTGTCTTCGTGAGCAAGCCCTTGGAACACTTTTCCCAGACCTGGTGGCAGTGACATCCCTTTATTTGACCTCTGAATGAGCTAATGAGGGAACAGAAAAATCCCATTTTTTAAACATTATTTTATTTATTTTCCTCATGTAGACATCCATCACAAATAATACATATTTTTGTTGCTTACTGTATTTCAAGAATTAAATAGCACATTTTTAGTTTTGACTGAATGACTTTTTTTGAAAAATTACTTGATCTTTTTGAAATTATGACTATAAAGGTAATGTGCCCCCATGCTACAAAAAATCATAAAATAATGTTACTTTAACACAAGTTCCAAAGATTTCCAAAGAGAAAAACTTCGTGGAGTATTGATTCTTGTGCAAACTCTTCTGAGGTCACAAACACACATAAATGCTATTTTTACACATGCCACTTTAAAAATACCGTCTATGTTTCAAGTTCTTTGTCCAGATTACATTTGATCATCATAACAACCCTGCAAAATAGGTGGTGCTGTACCCACTTCTCATATAAAAAAAAAATGAGGTATAGAAAATTAAAGTAACTTGCTCCAGACTTCATGGCTGGTAAGAAGCAGAGTCTGAATTCTAATTATATTCATTGTCACCAAAACCACTTTATCTTCTGCCAATCCTTGTTCCACTGTATCTCCTGAACTTTATTATGATTGTTGCAAGATGCTATTTGGATAAAAACATGCTATTTCAGAACATTAGGTAGTGTAGATTAGGACAAAGTTTTCAAAGCTTTCCAAGCTCAGCTTAAAAACCCCTCCTTAATAGCAGCTTAGCCACTATTCAAAACTCTTGAGACTTTGGTGTCAGTACAGTCTTTGAGAGTGACCCATCTGGTCCTTTTCTTTGGTTGTTTGGTCATCTGAGCCCTCTTTCCCCTGCATGACGGGGGTGGCCTCAGGGGTACCAGCATGTTTGAATTTTGTTTGGACTCACTCACCCTGCATGAGAGTAATAGTTAGGCATCCACGGCCTCTTGATTGGTGAATTCTTTGGATGAGAGGAATCAATATGGAAGAAATATGGCAAAGATGCCAGTGAAATGGGCTGAAATACTTACCAATAAAATCAGGAATCATGTAAGAAGGGAGAAGCAGTGTAAAAATTTGGGAAGCTGAGGCATATTGTGAGTAAGGGACTAAGAAATACTGAGTCTGTAAGCCAAAAGACAAAGTCCCACAGCCCCCACATTCTCTTAGGAGCTTATTTATGTCCATCTCTGTCCCACCCGGCTGAACCATCCATACTTAGAGATTGCACACATGTTACCATTAGCAATATTCAGCTGGTCCAGGTGATCCTGGGCATGTAGTTGAGGGAAGAGGAAGCATGGTGCCGGTGTTCTGGAAATAGACCACTGAATTCCATTTGTGGTTCCACTAATTTATACCTATGGGCCAGAGCTATATGGGCAAATTTAACCTCTCTCTCTCTATATATAAAGTACTTGCTTTATAAAGTTATAGCAAGTACTTCATAAGGTTGGTCTGGGAATTAAATTGGTGCTTTGGAGAGTGCTTAGTACATGGCACAAACTCTGTAAATGTACCCTGCCTTTGCTGAATGGTCAGGAAATGTGGATCTCCTGGAATTGATGCACCTGGCATATCTTCACCTCTCAGCCAAGAGAAGAATGTTCTGCAGTTGATGCATACAGAATTTTACACATTTTACATTAGATAAATTGTTAGAATTTTGCTGGGTTTCACTTCATTTGCTTGTTCAGTTACTAAAAAGACGTATGAAAACTGTCCACTTAAATTTTGTATTTTTATTATCTATTTGTATATCTGATGCTGTGTTATTAAACGAATACAAATTGTAATAGTTCTATCTTCCAGGTAAATTACAATGTCTATATACTAATCTTATTTATCTCCAGCAATGCGTTTGTCCTTAATATCAACTTCCTCTATTGCAAAAGCCACAGCATTGCATTTTTTTCATTCTATTACTTTTAATGTTTCTGTATTCTTATGTTGTAGCTTTGTATTTTAAACAGCATACAATTTCATTTTAATTTTAATCAAGTCTGACCATCTTGGGGCGCCTGGGTAGCTCAGTCGTTAAGCGTCTGCCTTCGGCTCAGGTCATTATCCCAGGGTCCTGGGATCGAGCCCCACATTGGGCTCCCTGCTCCACGGGAAGCCTGCTTCTCCCTCTCCCACTCCCCTGCTTGTGTTCCTGCTCTCGCTGTCTCTCTGTCCAATAAATAAATAAATAAAATCTTTAAAAAAAAAAAGTCTGATCATCTTGGAGTTTTAGTTTTTTTTTTTTTAAGATTTTTTATTTATTTATTTATTTGAGAGAGAGAGAATGAGAAAGAGCACATGAGAGGGGGGAGGGTCAGAGGGAGAAGCAGACCCCCTGCCAAGCAGGGAGCCCGATGTGGGACTCGATCCAGGGACTCCAGGATCATGACCTGAACCGAAGGCAGTCAATTAACCAACTGAGCCACCCAGGCGCCCGGAGTTTTAGTTTTTAAGCCATATTCATTTAATCTGATAGTGTAATTGTGTTATCATATTCCCTTATCACTATTGTATTTTAGTTTTTGTCCCTTTATATATTTCACTATTTTTATCTTTCCATTCTTATGATTGGTTTCAATACTTTTGTTATTCTTTTCTTTTATAATTTTGTCACTTATATGTCGAAAACTTTTGTCAAAATCCCCTTTTTTTGAATGTCTACTGAATACAAAGAACTCAGAGAGTTCAGGATTGATTGTGCTGTTATAAGGAATAATGAGATTGTGCTAAACTGCATGGGAACACACATTTCTGTATGTATAATAGCACAGTGAGCTATTAATGCCATCATAGGAATTACCAATGTCCTATTTTGTAAGTCCTTTATCTGTGTCTGCTACAACTGACCAGAGCCACTTGAATATCTGATTTCATTAGATGCTAACCACTGAGCCTGCGAAAAGGACAAAAAGATTATTTACACACCTCATGCTCAACAAAACAGCAAATCCTATTAGCCTTTCACTTTCAGCTTGCAGCTCTTCCATATACTATATCATATGATGGTGTATCTTTTATATATATCTCCAATTATGTAACTTTTATATACATTTATATGCATATACATAATTATTAAATATAGACTTTCAAATATAAATAATTTCACATCAAGCTTAACAGGATAAAAACATGTAAACATACACACCTGGTTCTGGTCAAGTAAAACACAAAACCACAAGGTAACCACATGTTCAAGAGTGCACTTGAAGGGGAATGAGGGAAGGAACAGACATGTAAACAACAAAGATGAGCAGTTGTACCACAAAGGCCCTGCGAGGGTCCATTTCTTAAGGCTGTAGTAGCAAAAAGCTCCTTGTTCAGTTAAGACTTCTCCCTTCACCCTGTCACATTTATTCTTGAGGGACTTCAAAATGAGTGTGGAAATTCTGTAAACACTAGACTAGAACTGAGTCAATCCTGTTGAAAACAGAGATGACAAAATAAACCATAAACTACAGTAATATTCATTTCATCAAACAATAACTTTAAGGACTTTTTGTTACAGTTCACCACAGTAAAGCACCATAACCTTGAAATGGGGATGGACAAGAAAACAGAGATGAATGCTTTATAAAAATGGCTTCAGTAGCCTCTGTGAATGATAGATGTGTCTATAAACAGAAAACAAGCAACAGCAGATGGCAGAGCCTTAGCACAACAGACCACATGCCACAGCATAATGCCACAGATCAAACTGAAAAAAATTTTCCCGCTCATAATGAAGCAAGTCCCACTGGTCCTCTGAGAAAGAAAGCTCATCATTTGCCAGTGAAAGAAAACACTTAAACAACAGATTGGCCAGCCGAAGCATGACAAGCTCTTTTTTACTGCTTTTAAAGGGTATCTCACCCTCTCCCACCTGAGTAGGCTCCAAAAGTTGACTGCAGTGAGCACCGGATTCCCCAGCACCCTGCCTCTGAGGATCCTCTCCCGGGCCCTCAGGGTCTGCATGCTTGTAAAAACAGTTCTCTCCAAATGGGCAGAAACCCCTGCCTTCAGCAAAATACCTGCAAGTCTTGTTGCTCATTGCCTCCTTGTACTGCTGAATAAGTTTCTGCTTCTCTTCCTCCTCCTCCACCCAGAACTCACTGGGAATGACAAAGTTGGAGGTGACCCTGCACTGTGGACAGGACTTGACGATCCTGTTGCCAAACTGTTTGTCAGTCCTCCACCTGCGGATACACTTAAGACAGTAGGTGTGGTTGCAGTTGGAGAGGATGCCAAAGCGGCAGTCACTGGGGTTGGCTTTCTCATAGACAACCTCCATGCAGATGCCACAGACTTTGTCCATACTTCGCTGCACTGCAAACGAGAGTTCCATATCCTTCTCGTGTGCTTCAATGCAAGCCTTTATATGGTCTGCCCTCTGCACAGCATCCACAGGGTGCAAGACCTGAAGCCCACACATATCGCATATCTCTCCATGGAGATACATGCAGCTCTCCCCACGAAAGCACTGCCCCATGGCAGCATCCCGGCAAAGCTGCTGCCCCCTTCCCACTGCAATCTGTTCCCTCTCAGTCACTGAGCTCTGCAGAGGAGCCCTGGGAACAAAAGGGAAAATGCGGCCCCGGTAGGGTTGCCCAGGAACAAACTCAATGGCATTCTCCCAGCCTTCTGCACCTGCTCCTCCAGCAGCTTCAAGGCCTGCAGTGTGTCTCTCAGCTTCAAAGAAACCCCTTTCAGCAGCCAAGCCAATCACAGGCAAGGAGCAAGAGGACGCAGCAGGGGGGGCTTCCGCCACTTCCTGAGGCAGGATCTCGGTATGCGCAGCCGTGCTAGGGCCTTGGTCTGCAGAGGCCCAAGGCGGTGAACCATGGCCCTCCCTGGCCAACTGCCGGCCTGAGAGGTCATGAGAGTAACGACAGTTCTCCCCCTCCTTGCAAAGCCCATGCAGATAATACCTGCAGGTGACTTGCTTCGTCCAGCTGCCACCACTCCGGCCCGGCAGGCGACTGGGCCCAGCCCCTCCCCCTGCAGCCTGGGCAGGCCTCAGACGTGACGTGCGGAGGGGGGCCGGACCTGCAGCTGCAAACTGCCGGAAGACCGGGCGCGTGCGGAGGGAAGGCCCAGTTGCACCCTCCCCTGCTGCCTCGGCACCCAGAGATGCCCCAGGTGTCTCAGAGGCTTCAGTGGGAGCTGCAGGCTCTTCCATGGCAGCTTCGTCTCCCCAAATGGTACCGGAACTTCTCCGGTGTCTCTTCCTTTAGGCTTGAGGCCCAGAGAGCCGGAGCTGGCACCGGGGTGTCTTATCTATGAAGTGTGCATCTCTTTTCCTTCTCCCCTGCTCTCTTCCTGTGACTATGGGTTCCTACTTCCTCTCTGGGCAGGCGCGGCGGACACTTCCTGTGGGGGCAACGTCAGTCCTCTATTCAATCTGTACGGTCCGTACAGCGTGTTCGGTGATTCCGTATCCTCCTTTGTTCTCGTCAGTCGGGGCTGCCCCGCCCCTTCCCCGGCCTTTGCCCTGCTCCTCTACACGCCAGCTGGCCGATCCCAATGCCTCTCGCTCGCGCGCTTCTCTGGAGGACGTAATCACAGCTCTTTGAGGTTTTAATTTAATCTCTTCCAGTGTTCACTCAGACACATTGTATTTTATTGCTTTTTCATATATGCCTGTTTTAAAAATCATAATCCCCCCCCCACGTCACTGCTTATGCTGGAACGTCTCGTTCATGAATATTATATATATATGTTTTTTTTTTTTTTTCCTGTTCACTCCATTTTATGTCTACATGGGTCTTTGTG